TGTATGAGCCCCTAATAAAATGTTTTTAAAAAAATATGGAATGCTTCACGAATTTGCCTGTCATCCTTGTGCAGGGGCCATGCTAATCTTCTCTGTATCGTTCCAATTTTAGTTTATGTGCTGCCGAAGCGAGCACAGTTACTAATTTCTTAAAAAGGGCCACTTTAGATATTTGTCAGGCATTTTCTTCAGCAGAACATAAACCCAAATTCATTGCCACAGTTGATTTCAACTCATAATGACCCTTGATAAGGTTTTTGAGAAGCAGACAGCCTCATCATCTTGGTGAGTTTTGACTGTTGGCCTTGCAGTTAACAGCCCTACACTTAACTCACCACTAGGGCTCCTTTACTAATCAAACATTGATACTTTTTTCCTATTAAACTCTAATACTAATTTTCAGGAATAACGAGAAAAAAATATGTTGTAATTCTATTATAGCACAACTTCTGTCACATTTGCAGAATACTGATTGGGTCTTGCTTACATTAACAGTCTCACATGGTTGTAATCAGTGAACTACTTTTTTAGTGCCACCCCCCTTCCATTTAACTTAAAATTAACATTTCTGAGCAACCTAAGAAAAAATTTATGGTAACTCCCTAATTTGTCCCATTCAAAACAGCAGTATTAAATTGGACATTTGTTTTTAGTTCAAAAAAAATTTTTTTTTAGTTTTTAAAATTCATACTAGAGAAATGCTACAGGGATTATTGTCTGCCATGGAAAATGTTTTGTCTCAGAATAAGTAAAGAAACAGTGTAACAGAAAGATCAGGAACTCTGAGGTTATTGAAATTGGGTTAGAATTTGGGCTCCTTCAATTACTATTCAAGTATCTTTGAATAAATTTCTTTAAACACTCAGAGTTCGACATCTGAAAATGAGAATAATAAAAGATAAATGAATGTTATTTGGATCATTGAGGGTATTAAGTAAGATAATGCCTATGTGGTAAATTGATACAGTACTGAGCACCTATTTGTCCTTAAAAAGGTAACTGTTACAGATGGGCCACTTTTTAATACCACAGGAACAAATTGTTAAAATTGACATTTTATTTAAAAACAATCTATAATTTAGACCGTGAACTAGTTTTAAATGCTAGCAGAACACGTGTGCTTTTATATATAGGTTTCTTGGTTTCATTGAGAAGATAATAGTTTAAAATTTTTAATTTCTGACTCTAGATGGCTTGATACCTTTCACTATTTTTTTCCTGTCTCAACTGATTAATTTTTTAAAATAATAATCACATTGAGATTACATTGTAGAAAATGGTAGATGCCCACTTTTTTATAGCCAGGTTACTGGCTTAAAAATGAACTTTAGAAAAAAAAAGAACTTTAGTGTGTGCCCTTTTATGACTAATGTATAAGTTTAGAAAAAAACTAGTAGGAATCATTAGCATCTTTTTGTATCTACTTTTATTCTTTTACTGGGGGTTTAATCATTTTATTGGGAGCTCTTACAGATATTATAACAATCCATAATTCAATTAGGTCAAGCATAATTGTATGATATCTACCACCGTTTCAAAACATTTTCTTTCTTTTTGAATGCTTTGATACCAGTTCCCCTTTATATCCCCTCCCTCTCCTACCCTACTCCCCAGGAACCCTTATTATTTTATTTTATATATATATATATATTGCCATATCTTATACCATCCAATGTATCTGTTCACCTACAATTCTGATATTCGTTCCCCCTCGAGTGGGGTTACTGGGGTTATATAGTCATCATTGCTATCAGTTCCTACTTTTGAACTTTTAAAACAAAATTGTGTATTTTTTGTCTGCTTTCAAATTGGATTGTCTTCCCTTACCATATCTGGAGACACGGTCATCTAGAAAATGTAGTATTTAAGAGGGTGACTCTGTATCTCATTAAAAATTATATGTAATTTTTATAAAGATTAAAGAAATGAGGCAGACTTTAAAAAGTGAATAAATTGGGTTGTCCTCTTACGTTTTGAGATTTTAAAAATATATTATGGGTATAAGATCTTTATCAGGTGCAATATTTGTAAATATTTTCTCCCAGCCCAATCAATCATTTTTCCTTTTACAGATCGTGCTTTTTGTTCACATCTAAGAAATCTTTGTCTAATCTTAGGTCACAAAGATTTCCCATATTTTCTTCTAGAAGTTTTAGACTTTTCGATTTTATATTTATGTCTGTAATTTGAGGGTTTTTGCAGTGATCTGAGGTTTGTTTTATTTTAGCTTATTTCCTTTGGTGTGAGGTTTTTTTGTTATTGTTGTTTTCCCCCTTGCCACTATATACCCAGTTTCTAGCAGCATGTATTAAAAGTTGAAAACCAGTAAATTATAAATATGTGAATTTCCTTCTGTACTCAAACTATATATTAATACTATTTTGTATTATACCAAAAATTATTAAGAAACATAAATAGCCAGTGCTATTTAGAAATTTGTTAAGAATGTGGTGTTTGCTAACGTACAATCTGTGTAATGTTGTTAGTTGTCATCGGTTAACTTTGACTTTTGATTACTTCGTTGTGTGTAGAGTAGCACTGTGCTCTGTGGGATTTTTAAGGCTTTGGGAGTAAGATGGCCAGGCTTTTCTTCCTCAGTGAATGGTACTGCTTTCTTTGGCCTTAGCCTCCGGAGCACATTAACCATTTGTTCTGTCCAGAGACTCCATGTAGGAGAGAGAAAGTCTTGGAATATTTCTTAAACGTTATCCCATGCTTAAGTTCTGCTTTTTGTCTTTGGAAAACCCATTTCTGCCCCCATCTGTTCCTTTTTTCTTTTGGGTAAATGTTTCCACACAATACTGTTTATTTTATTTTTCTGTTGTGGTAAAGTATACACCAAAAAATTATCAGTTTTTTTAAAATACCGTCTTAAAGTGTACAGTTCAGTGGCATTAAGCAACCTTAACATAACCACAATCTAGTTCCAGAACTTTTAACACTATCACTCAATTTTAACTCTTACTTCTTAGTTAGTGCTTTTCAGTGTGTATTACTTACCTTATTACATGGTAGGAGTTATAGAAGTCAAGCCTCGGTTCTTATTCATAAAGACTTCTTAGTCTAGAAAGGGAATCAAATAACCTATTATTTATGGTAAAGCATAGCAAATTATGTTAGATCTCCTTCTAAGGATTTATTGCCTAACCCAACTCATTGCCATAAAATCAACTCTGACTTACAACAATCTTGTCAAACAGAGTAGAAGTACCCCTGTGGGTTAGTTACCAAGACTGTACATATTTTTAAATTATTTATTTTATTTTTTTATTGGGGGCTCGTGCATACATCTTTAGGGGATTTAGAAAGCCTCATCTTTGACTGAGTATCTGGTGGTTTCGAACTGTTGACTTTGTAATGAACAGCTTAATGTATAACCTAAAACAACAGGGCTCTTCAAAGATTTGTTCATTTAACTAGAATTTTATTTATACTTTGAGAGCAAAGTAACTTTTTGTTAGGTTAACAGTCAAGTGTCATATCATCCTATGTCCTATACAATTAATTTAGGCAAAGTTGAGTTTTTTTGGTTTTTTACTTAGGTCAGTCCAGGACTCATAAGTCTTCATGCCCTTCATTTTGTAACCAGAAGGGAATCCGAAAATTGATATTTTGATGAAAGCCAATTTATTAACTCTTCCTTTTTAAAGGAGCAGAGAAAATTATCAGTACTGAACACTCCCTCTACAACTATCGTTAGTTGAACTGTTTTGTCTTTTCTTTATTGCAGTGGCAACTTGCGTAATTATGATCAAATACAGTATTACAGAGGCATGTTTATTTCTCTTGGCAGATCATTTGGAAAACTTAATAGATTGGTGATAAATGTTTTACCAGTTGTAATCAAAACCAGTAAATCATTACCATTAAATGATATTATGTATTATTTGTATTATTATGACTTATTTTCTTTAGCATTAAAAATTCTATACAAGAACATTCATTAAATACAACATGGCTTCTATGTTTATAGGATTCTACATTGTTCCTAATAGAGTCTGTCTAGGAAGGAGTTGATGTTCCAAATGGCTGGTGTGTTTTAGCAATTTCAATGCTTGTCGTGGAAGGATAATTCAGATTACTAGGCCTTGACTGATAATAAATGATTCTTGTACATTAAAAATGTCTGAATTTATGGCCCAACTTTGGTACCTTTATAAAAGGAATGTAAAATTTAAAATAACCTCTAGTTTGATTAGGTATTAATAATTTTGACCTGTAATGCTAAAAAATAACTATAGTCTTCTTTTTTTAGGGTAATCACTTTGATCAGTATGAAGAAGGACACTTGGAAATTGAACAAGCGTCACTTGATAAGCCTATCGAATCGGTAAGATGATCAGTGCTTAATTTTGGGACATAGGTAGTGTTCGTGTGACACTTGATGCGAATGAAGTTAAGTTTACTAATTATTGAGAGTACAGTTTAGTGCTATTTACTTGCATGCCCTACAATAATCAAGTAGAGTTTGGGATATAGGATAGTATTTAATATGTTGGGAAATTAATCCAAAAAAATCTAAAAGCAAATTAGACTTTTGGATAAATATTTTGGTCGATACTGATATTCTGTTAAAGATAGCAAGTTAAAATTTAGTGTTTTTATAAATTAAATAAAGGAGTAAAATGTATTTTGATCCTTTAATAGCTTCACTTTTCTTGGGCAAGGCAATCGTGTGGAACGCTTCATTAGAAACAGTTAAGAGTTAATTAACACATTTTACTCACCAGACTCGTAGAACATGGCAAATTTGATTTCTGTAGCATAAGAATTGTCTGGTGTTGTCAAAAGTGGATCCTTTTGGTCTTTTCACACAGCATTTGGAGATTAATAGTGACAAACAACAGAATAAACAGATTTATTTATTTTTACTTAAAACAACAGCACAGAATGCTCCCCCCAAAAACCTAAACCTACTAATTTTTTAACATTATTTTCATTTTTAAAAACTCATCATTTTAAATTACAGTCTGTTAATAAACTGTCTGAACTTGTCAGTATTGTCAGCAGTTAATATTTGTGCTTAAGTGTACATATTTAATAAGAATTTTAGTGGACTGTTGGTACGATTTAAGTGGAAATAATAAAGAGGGAATCTTAATAGTCAAGGCAAGCCTCTTCACCTATAGGAAATGCTAGTTTCTCCTCCCCTCTCAGGAAACAAGGCAATTTAGAGAGTACAGATATTTTAACTGTAACTTTCATTTTCAAAACTGTAACATAGTAAAGGATCAACATATGTTTATGTTCCTAATTAGATTGGTGTTGTGTGTGTTTGTGTGTGTTTAGTTGTTTACAGAAATTTACACAACTTGGGGTGTTCGACATTTTTCTTCCACAGCAGTTGGCCCATTTTAGCTAAGCAGCCATGATCTGGTTTGTATTGCACGGTCTGCCTTTTTTTAATTTTTTCTCTAGGGTTTCTTTCTCCCCCACCTCCCCTTCTTATTTCTGTTCTTCTGGTCCAGTGAACACTGCATATAGTACTTTCTGTCTTAATGTGCTGGCATGGTGCTAGACTTAGGCATGGCAGTAATTGATGACGCATGTGATAATGCTGCAGAGGGAGAAATCACATCTAATGCCCTGAAAAAGCCCAGTCTTGTGTTTTGACATAAGGATAAAATGCCAACTTTTTTGCTAAATTAAAAACAATTGAAATTTGTGCCTTGTTCCATACCATCTTGGGGATGATCACAAGTTTGGATTTTATAATACAGTCCACAAACTATCACTATTTTGCATTTGAAAAATAAATTAATGTTTAATTTTGATTTAAATGCTCTTTGGGTCAAAGTTTCAGATTGGATCTGTTAGAAGCAAATCCCCAGTACTGTATTCCGTAAGGCACATAATTGGTTAGTATATTTGTACAGGTTGTAATTTGGGGGCTACTTTGACTTGACCATAGCAGGAAATTTAGACTAAATTTACAGCCTAGTGTTCATTATTAACCACCGGGTTAGACTTTAAAGGTTTCTGAAGAATTCAATACTGTGTCAAGTGAGGTTAATGCTATTTCATGTCTCATACTTGGTTTATAGGAAATTCACTTCCTAGTACATGTCATAAATTTTGGCACATATCAAAGAGGAAAAATTCTGACTAGTGTTGAGTAATCTCAGGGAATTTTGAGTAGAATTAATATGTCTATTTGCTAAATGGAATTATCTTTTCCATTTAAAATAGCAAATAATATAATACTTAAGCTGAATTTTTGAAATAAATATCTGTTCAGAGATGTATAATATGTAACTCTGGATATGTATTTATGAAATGTACTTCTGCTACATATAAAATTATACATTGTGTGCGATATGGTAGTTTAGGTTCTAACAGCCGGAGCTTTGTACTAATACTTTGTGTTAGATAGAAGCAGGGCACCCAAGATAGGAGGGATCTTATCTACCAAATCATTTAGGAATAGAATTTACAGAGACTCATAAAATGATTGGCACCAAAGTAGGTTGTGTTTCCTTCTTCCTTTCCCCAAACAAAAGTCCTCTGTCTCCTAAGGAATGCCCACCAAATGCTAGTGTTTATTATTACACGACTGGCTGCCCACATTGAGCTGTCTTGCTCTTAGAGGGAGTGGCGTGGCTTCTAACACTTGAAAAAGTCTGTGCTGAATGAACATCTTTCTCTGCAGCAATATCTATTAAGAGGTGCTGACTGTTGTGCTACAGCATGCAACTCAAACGTGGCTGGAAATATGCAGCTTTGGGAGTCTACAGATCACTGCAGGAGCTAAAGGTCTAGTCATTTTTTTTTAAACAAGGTAATCTACAGCAGCTGGTAACCGTGGAAGTCTGCACAGGTTTGTGCCAAGGACATCCCTGTATGAAGGGTTATTGTGAGTATAGGATTAAGGTCTTTTTGTTTTGAAATAGGATAAATTTGATTCATATGAGCAAGATGAAAAATAAGATACAAAAATGCTGCATTAGTGCATTATACTTTTAGTGAATTTTTAAAATCTAAGTTTGATAGTGAGATACATGTTAACAGGTATTTTCAGTTTCAGTAGGCAAATGTTGGCGATACATCAGAATTCATCCAGCAGGTGTAAAGAATTTCATAATCTTGTTATAAAGTCTTATTTTCCTCAACCAAATGGCTTTCAATAAAATGTCTAGTGATTTAAGAAAATTTTAAGAAAGTTGTCAGAAAACTTGATTATCTGAATGTAAAGAGAAGGTAGAAAATATTAACTTTTCACTTAGTACAAATAGTGTTTTTGGAATTTTAATTTTAAAAGTTGCTACTGCTTTGAGAGTTTTAGGTCCCAGCCATGATCATTATAGACTTTACACACTTAAAGTTTAAAATTCAGTGAACAAGTTTGATCTACAGCCATAAGCCAACTGAGAGCTCCACCGTGCTTCCAAGAATTAGTTGGTCTGATTTAGGGTATGTGATTTTTTATAACTTTTATTATAGAAAACAGATGCAAATGGGTCAATTATTTTAAGCTATGTAGAAAGCAAAATGTTTGCATCATAGGCTTACAAAATACATTGTCATTGTAAAACTACCCGTTAGCTCATTAATTGGCCTTTTCTGCCTGACTAATTAAAATTCTGTTTTAATAGTTTTGGGGTTGACCGAACAGGTTTTAACAGTTAATGTAAGTTTTCAGACTTCAGTTGCTCATGTTTAGCTTGTGCATCTAGGGATTTAGAAGTATGTGTATAATTAGGCTTTGTCATGTTGTATATCTGTTTAGATCTGTGGACTCCACTAGTTCCAAACTGTAACTCTATAAGACTGCTAATTTGACATTTAGCAGTGACCATATGTGGTCTGCACTATAAATAATGTGCTTCTTGGAGCTGAATGGTGTAGCATTACTGTGTGGCTTTTCTCTCCAGTCTTCCTTGTGTCATCTGTAGTGAGCTAGACTTTTATTTTTTGGTGGGGAGGGGTGGGATTTTTTTGCAATTTCTTGTTTGCATGGGTTCACCTATTAGCATTTGGTTCTTGCTTATAGATTCTTTAATACACAATCAGCAAAGCTTACAATCCACTCAAGAGTCCTATACTTTTTGCCACTGTTAAACATGAGCTAATTTGTGTAAATTGAGTGTAGCTGTCAGCTAAATGAAAATTCAGTGGGGAATTAATATTTATCCAGTCACTGAAATATATGTTAGTATAGTGTTCTCTTGAGATGTACGCCATACCATAAAATACCATATATATTTGAGTATAAGCCAACCCGAATATCTGCCGAGGCACCTAATTTTACCACAAAACTGCATAAATAATGTGCTGAAAAACTCAGCTTATACACGAGTATATACGGTAGATTTTTTACTTATATTTTGATATCTGCCACTATACAGATTGGTGGTGCTATTGCCAAAATGTTTGATCATTTTGAGAGAGATTCCTGAGAATCTTTCTGCTTGGTGTTTAATTAATAAAATATCGAAGAATGGCTAAAACAATGAGGTGGTGTTTTTGTTTTAATTGATTTCTAGGAGCCCTGGTGGTGTAGTGGTAATGTGTTGGGCTGCTATCCACAAGGTCAATGCATAATGCAGCTAGAAACCACCAGCTGCTCTGAGGAAGAAAGATGGCACTTTCCACTCCGTAAATTTACAGTCTTGGAAACTCACTGGGGCAGTTCTACTCTGCCCTATGGGGTCATTTTGAGTCAGCATGGATTTGATGGTAGCAGTTGTACTTTTTAGCATATTATTGGTAGTTGTTTTTTACCACTTCTTACTTTCCTGTTTAAAAATTCTATTCTTTCTATGTTTGTAATACATATAATAGAGGGGAACAAAGAATAAGAATGTATCATTTTAATTAAACATTTAAGTTTAGAAATAGAAAAGGTAAAGGACACTTTAGGTAATCTTGGGTGAAAAAAAAGTTTGGATTTCAGCTAACTCGGCTCACAGTGTAACCAGAATTAGACGAACTTTATATTCAGCCTAAGATATCGCTTACACTGCCACCAATTTGGGGTTTGAACACAAAAGAGAAATAAGTGAGGAACAATTATGTGGAAAACTGGCTTCTTGCCTACTACCAGGGCCAAAGTTCAGCGGCCATATTAATTAGCCTGAAATTAGGGTTTTCTTGCAGTTCTTATGCATACTTTGAAATTATAGACAGCTATCACGGTCGTGTCTTTTGGGTAGTTCTGAACCTGTCTCTGCTAGAAAAAGAAAATTTTGTAACTTATTTTTGCTCCTATGAGATTACAATTAGACCCCAAGTAGTATATTTCACTTGAAAAACTGGAAAGATTTTCTAGTCATTGTTATAATGACCAAAAACTAAGAAACGTATATACTCGTGTATAAGCCGAGTTTTTCAGCACATTTTTAACGCAGTTTTTGTGGTAAAATTAGGTGCCTCAGCTGATATTCGGGTCGGCTTATACTCAAGTATATACGGTACTTAAAAACCAACAAAACAAAACAAAAAAAAAACAAAAAAAACCAACAAAACAAAAACCTATTTAAGAGATAAATTTTGTGCTCATTGCTTTTATCTGTATAGATTATCCACTTGACCAGAAGTCAGTCTAGTGTATTGTTGTAACACACATCTATGGGAATAATTTGAAAAAATCCTAACCCTAAGCAGAGAGACTAAATTAATCATTTTCCAGGCTGGCAGTTGAGAATCCTTTGTTCCTTCACAGTAAAAGTTTAGTAAACATTTGAACATTTTAGAGGTAGACAATATCTACTTTTGTCCTACATTGTTATGAGGTGTTCTAGTGGGCCTTCACTGTTCATCCATCATCCTTAAGCCTGCTTAGATTTTTTTTTCCTGCTTAGATTTTTGAATAGCATTTGTAAAACTATTTTTCTTTCTTGGTAGCAAAGGGGGGACCACATTGAGTACTAGCCTTGTTAGCAGAGTCACAGCGCTGTCTTTTTTCGTCAAAGAGCAGATAGTCTGGAATGACAGGAAAAGCCCAGGTTTTCTGTATTTGTCATTTCCTCTGAACTGCGAGTTGGTGATTCCCCTGAGAAAAAGAGACTCGGTGAGATAAGTCTCTTGTTTTTGTTGCCTTGGGTGTAATCAGAAGGGCTGAGGGGCATGTTCTTAACTTTGCTATAACCCTCAACGTTATATTCTCCATTCATATTTGGGAAAGTAGACTTAATTAAAAAAACAATTTTCACCCAAAGTGTTAGGGGAGAAATGCCACTGCCGTTTTCTGTGAGAAGGTGGCAGCTCTTCTCTTGAGTGGTTTTGTAAAAGTGGTGCTAATGTGTATAACCTTAAGTTTTTCTTTTTTTCTTCCTTTTAACATATGCTTTTCCTTTCGCTGTTGTCAGTCACAACATGCTGCTCTTGAATCTCTCAGCTGGTCTTGACTCGTGAATTTACTTATGCTTTCACTCTTCTGTAATAAATACATTACTTGCAAGCAGTGAATTGAAAACAAGACAAAAATAAATAAAACGACCATTAGTGATTGGACAGTTTCTTACTTTGTGTTACATTTAACTGTTCTTTTGACAGCCCAGTTTTTAAAGCCAGGTTCGTATGGAAATGCTTTCACTCCACTTGCACTGCTTTTGGAAATAGCATACTGCTTCATCTGTCTGTTTATTTTAGTGCATTCATAATATAACACAGTTAGCATAATGTCTCATCTCTACTTCACTAAAGATTGAGTTTTCTTCAATAAAAAAAGGAGGCAACAGTTTTTGTCAGCATTTTTTAATGCATGAAATCTCTGTGCCAAATAGTTACCCTAGCCTGTTAAAGACTAAACATTAACTTAAGTCAATCACACAATCTTAGCATCATTTTGCTATCCTTTTCCATTCTAGGGTTACTCAGTTGTAGAAATTATGTTATGAAATAGGAATTTTATATGCAGGTAAGTTTGTTTTCCTAGTAATAAGACAAAAGTCTTTTTACCTTTTTCATTTTCTGTTCCTTATACAAAGACATACTTTCTTTGATAATAGAGTTACTTATAAATAGATAATACTAATTAGTGATACCTTTCCTGGCATTTCATTTGGGATGGAAGAAGGGAAGAAGAGGAGGCAGCAGTTTAGGTTTATGTTTTTTGTGAAGTCTAATAATGGTGGAAGACATTTCTAGTAATGTGAACGTCATCTCCTGGGGTTACACATACCATAGAGTTTTATAGTAATTATTCTTAGCAAAATTAATTTCAGGTGACCTTTTGAAGACTGTATGATTTTGTAAATATACTTACTCCTCATTTACTGGCATAGTTAGGTTCCAATATCAGGTCATTATGAGAAAATGGAGAATGACTACATCAGTACATCACCGTCAAACCACTGAGAATCATGGCCCAGTTCAGTTGACATTTAACCGTAGACACCATAAGCCAGCATTACTCTCACTGTGCAGGTTTTTTTTTTAACTTGTCATACATGGTTAAGTGTCAGATAAACTGATCAGTGAAGAGTAGTTGTATATATATTTTAAATAGTATCTTTTGTTTTAGAAACACTTTTTGTCATTTGCCTGTTGGTTGTGCTTTTAAAAAGGTATCATGATTTTTGTCTCCCACTCTATAGGAGTTAAATAAATTATTGTTCATCCTAATTTTCACGTGTTCTCAAAAATTTGTTGGATGGAGTTATTTATTTATTTATTTTTGTTTTAAACAGAACATTTGGGAGACTTAATCATCTTAAGTACATGTCAGAGAGATAACAACAGTAAAATAACTGTTTTCTTTCCTTCGTGACTTGAAAGATCATTTTATCATTGAATTATGAAATTGAAAAGTAACAAGTAGTTCATAGGTTTTAATGAAAAGATTTGGGGTTTTGCTACTTTATAATTAATTTTGGGAAATAGAAGTATTTTCAAATGACAATGCTAGATTGATATAAATAGAACTTTTATGTGTGATGAACACTTTATTTATATTATTTTTTAATGTTTTCCATTGGACAGGTAGCATGATGTTATCTGCTACAGTTAAGTTACTTTAGCTTTGCCCTGCTACTTCACAGTAATTGTCACAAAGAAAGAATTGGATAAAGGCTGCAGAGATTTCTGAGGGCTATTGACGCCTTTTATGAAAGCTGACATTTAATTGTTGTTCCTGAGGTGTTTTCCTGCAATTTGAACTCCCTTTATTTATCCCACGTGCTCCCAGGAAGATGAGACATTATGTATGTTGGTCCCGCCCCACCCCCTACATGCACTAATGGTTCTTTACTGTTAACTTACTGCTAGGCCTGTTTCATTCTAACATTTTAGCATTTTTGTTAGATTACATGTTGAAATGCATCACTCAGTCTGTGCTTGAGCTCATTTTATTTTTCTGTTTAATCAATTTAATTTCTTGTTTTACTAACCTCACTGTTTTTCAGTTTAATATTGGCTGCATGCTAGTTAAATATTTATTTATATATATATATATATTTAAAAACCAATCAAGTTTAGCCTGGATTTTGCTCTGATTGTGTTTTCATTTCTAGTGGTGGGGCAGTCTTACATTTACAACTTACTTTGTATCATGAAAGCCTGACACATAAAACAGCTAAACACAATGTAAATTTTCTTTGAAAAGAAATCAAAGTGGTGCTATCTAGGTGGTGGATGTGATTGTACTTTGATTTTATGCTTTTTTAATGTTAGTTTTAAATTTCATAAATGTATTCCTTCCCCTGTCCTTTGTTCTCCTTTGTAGTGTTCGGTACAAAGTTGCCCAGTACACCATCAGAAAGGACCAGTATCCCACATGTTCTTCTCATATAAATACTAGCCAGCATTTCTTTTTACATTAATGTCTCTTTTATTGGACACATTTACCCTATTATTAGCACCTTTTTGCATGCATATATGTAGAATTATCTCTTGCTCATCACCTGTTTAAATGTCACTAGGAAGGGAAGAATATATTATTGGAATATTTTTGGTTTGTCTCTCTGTTCTGTCTGTCAGGATAATATTGGACACCGCTTACTCCAGAAACATGGGTGGAAGCTGGGCCAGGGATTGGGAAAATCTCTTCAGGGTAAGTTTTTTATATTTAGGGGGTGGGGTGGGGCGGGGAGAGAATACAATATTACTGTTTTTTATGCAGATCTTGTGTTTGATTATGTTTGATGTCTTTTTTAAAAGTATTTGGGATTTCCCCCCTTCTGTTTCCTTGTGCCCCTTCTAGAATAGCCTTTTCCCCTATGACTGTATTTTATGTCATGATGAAGCCTCCATGTTTGCTGATAACTTGACGAGTAAGCTGCTTTGTTATTAAAACTTCAGGTCAAACTTACATGTGGCTCAACTGGTTTTAAAATTTTTTGGGGGTAGTGGGTTATCTATCGGTGGGTAAAGTAAAAGGGGAGTACATGAGTGTGCTTTCTTTGTGTCATTTAGTGACTTTGTATTGTGGTCTTCTGTATTATAAAGAGAACTATTGAGCAGTAGACTATAAATATCGCCCTGCTAAATTCTCCCTGAAGCTTGTGGTTGTTCTGACAGTTTTGCTCTATTATCAGAAGATAACCCTCGTGGAAAGCAGAGATTTCCTAGGGCTCAGAGGGAGGCTATTTCTCAGGTTCGGACATGTTCTGGAAAGTGTGATAAAGTTTCATTGCATTTATTTTTTCTTTTAAATATACAAATCATTTAGGTAAAAATTACTAACATTTCTGCTTCAGAGTTCTTGCTAGTTGGAACTATTCAACTCTATTCACTTTTGATTATACGTTACGTGGTGTGAACACTACCTCTGACATCTAGTCTCCGAAGGACTCATTTTAGAAAGGGGTCTTGTGGGTAGAGGACTGCTAATGTTAACTAGTTCCTTGCACAGTGTGAATGTGGAAAGCTGTAATCTGTGTATGCTTGCAAAAGGAACGAGAGGATAGAGCATGAAATAAGCTTTTTTCACCACTTTAACTTTTGCTTTTTAAATTATTCTACAAATTCTTTTCTTAGGAGATGCTTAATTTGTTTTGAATGAACATTTAAATTAAACATTAAGTGGACAAGGACTTACTGTGAATAACACAAGGAGCACTACGATTACAAACCTTTGTGTGGCATAGGCCATAGAGTTTGTAAGAATCTAGACGAGGGAGGACTGAAGTGAAAAACGATTTTTAAAAAATTTTATTGGCAACTCCTAGAACTCTTATCACAATCCATACATCCATCCATTGAGTCAAGCACATTTGTACATTTGTTGTCATTATCATTCTCAAAACACTTGCTTTCTACTTGAGTCCTTGTTATCAGCTCCTCATTTTTCCTTTCCCCGCCACCCCCTCCCTCATGAACCCTTGATAATTTATAA